TGGATTACATTATGTTATTTATACATGGGCAAACTAAAATGAAGAATTGAGACAAATGGTCCCAAGTCCACTACTGAGGATGAAGAAACTGATTCAGAATAAAAAATGGTCCAAATTGAACATGTTCAATAACTGGACTGACCTGGATAATTTGGCCATCTCTCAGTTTGTCACCACAGCGGCAAAAATTATGTGACGGCTTACTACCATGTGATAGGCACTGTGCTGATTACAACTAATATGCTCATATGATCCTCCTTCAGACCCTTTAAGATAGAAATTATTACAACACCCACTTCAGCAAAGATAAATTCTAGCATTTGTCTAAGTTAACCCAGGTAACCAGTGGTAGAACCAAGATTTCATCTCAAGTCTGTCTTGTTCCTAACTCTTAGCGACTGCACCCAGTGACAGCAGAATAGCAGGGGTGATAAAAATTTGGTAGGCAAGTAAAGTCAGTGGGCTGTCTTAAAAACCTAGCTGCAGAAATAAGCTATGTATAAACATCAAAGTATTCTCAGGAAAAATATCCAGTCTCAAAAGAAGAGAAACCACAGCTCAAAGAAGCCAGGCAGTTTAAAGGCCACAAAACAAGAGAACATAACTCTTTCAACTCCTATCCTAAAGGCCAAAACCACTTTAACTTCCAACATCAATTATGTCATATTCAACACAGACTCTATTTGGTCCAGGATGATAACATTCCATTTCTCCTGTTGCTTGACCTTGTCAGATTTTAAATTCCATTCTTAGAATGGAACCTTAAGTCTTTTTAAAAACGACCTTGAATAATAATAAATTCAAACAAGCTTAACAAGTAAGTAGTCATCATGTGGCAAAACACAGCGGATGGTGGTTTTAGTGTGCTGTTTGGGGATTGGGTGTTTACCACACAGCAGTGGATTTCATAAATTCCAGGGTTGGGCATATTTCTAGTGGTGGCACACTTGGCTATCACGAGAAGATGCAGGATTAGATAATCAACAACAACGAGGAAGTTCGCCAAGTTGCCGCCCAGAAATTATTTACCAGAGCAGCTGCAGTTCAGAAATGCTAATAAGCCCATCTCCCTGGGAGTGGGCCATGCTCAGCTGTAGACCACTTACAGTTTTCTGACTTGACTTTGCTCCAGAATCAGGAGCTCTGTGTACTGCAATGATCTCTTCCTTCTGTGCTTTAGATATGGTCTACCTCACACTCTGAACCTACAATTAATATACGCTACCAAGAGGGGGCGGTGGCACCTAATCATGTAGGTGCATGCCGCAGTTGTTCTGTGCTGAGGATACACAGCCTCCATCTGTGCATCTAGTCATTTACAAAAGTTGAAGCTTAAAGGTAGTTTAATTTAAACACTCAACAAACAGTAGCCAGTCTCACAGAACCAATTCTTATGTATAATTTAATACTATTTTATTTCTTAATTCTCTGAACAGCTTGCAAGAGAGAAATCCTTAACTCCTTCTACATTTACTTGCTTTGAAGTTGAAACTTTTAGGTTTTTATATAACTAACTCTTACAACTTCTCTTAAAATTAAACAGCCTTGTAGCTTCCTTTACAATTAAGAATTGTGTGTATCTACTTTAGTCTCGCCCTCAATTAGCTACATAAAGGAGGACTTGCTACTTGGAAAGAGAAAGACAGAACCCTCTCTCTAGTCCTTTTCTCCTAAAGTTTCTCACATTTCCATTCCCTATAGTCACCATGGTGAAATGCTTGCTTGTCTCTAAGACAGTATTTTTTACGCTTCAGTACAACTAACTCAACAAAAGTTTGCCATAGTAAAATATATGTAAAATGACAAAATAATTCCTATTCACAAGAGAATTTTCTTACATGTTTCACAAATACTAGTTTTCTTTAAGAGAACCATGCATACAACACCCGAATTAATGCAGGCTAACTTAGTTGAGTATGATTTAATGCTTTTACTGTATTTAAAGAAGAATCCTTTCAGCACTAAAGAAAAATCAAGCTAAGTTTAGCCACAGAACACGGCTCTAAATTCTCATCTGAACTACCTGACTTACCGTGTGACGCATCACATATCACTCTCCTTGTCTCTGCCAGCATGGCTGCTAATTCATGGCCCTAACCTTGTGGGGACACAAAGGGACTAACACGGTTAAATGTGAAACGTATGCATGGGAATATCTGAGGGTGAGATTAAAAGAACCAAACTGCTTCATTTTTAAATATCATAATAACTATTACTACTAGCAGGCATACAACTACTGCCCTCTCATATATGTATAATGCAATGAAGTTTATAAAGTGCTTTGATATGTCTTATTTACTCATTATGGTGGCTATGTATTCATACTCTCAACAGATAATCTTCAGTGCCTTTGGTGCTGTGCATTACTCTTAATGCCAGTTCTGCAGGAACTGGAAGAGGCTCAGAAAGGCTAAGTAACTCACTCAGGTCTCTGGTTGCCTAGGGTTCCTGATTTCTGGTTTTCTAATCCTTTATCCTTCTGTCAAAGTGGAACTGCCCTGATTTCTATCAATCCCTCATCACTTCAAACTAATTTCAACTATGACATTAATGATTGATAAAGGCTTCATATGTTCTGCTTCCCAAATAAGGGCATGTTAACCCAAGCTGTTGGTGCTTCCCAAATCATCACAGCAAAATGGGATGAGTGATCTGACAGGTGAATGGAATAAAGGTACGATGAGAAGTGAAAGGAGGGAGTACAGAATACTCAAGTAGGCAGTAGCTATATGCCTGCTGGGCTTCCCTGGTGGCTCAGAGGTTAAAGCCTACTAGTAGTAATAGTTATTATGACATTTAAAATTGGAGCAGTTTGGTCCTTTTAATCTCAACCTCAGATATTCCCATGCAAGTGTTTCACATTCAACTGTGTTAGTCCCTTTGTGACCCCACAGTTTAAGATTTCCCAAACTATATGAGGCCAGTAGCTACCTGATTACTCTGCTTTTATGACCAAAAAGAGATACGGCCATTTTTACCACCTGAGTGGGACTCATGCCATTGTGTACAAGCATGTTAAGTTGCTTCAGTCATGTCCAGCTCTTTGTGACCCTATGGATTGTAGTCCACCAGGCTCCTCTGTCCATGGGATTCTCCAGGCAAGAATACTGAAGTGGGTTGCCATGCCCTCTTCCAGGGGATCTTCCCCATCCAGGGATCGAACCCACGTCTCTTACATTTCCTTAATTGGCAGGCAGATTCTTTACCACTAGCACCACCTGGGAAGCCTCATGGCAATACTGGAGTCTAACAAAAGGGTTGTCACCTCTGCATGTGACAACGTTCTCTTACCCCCAGACCATGCTCCTGTGCAGCTTCTATAATCATTTTGTTGTTGTTGTTGTTGCACCACATGGTTTGTGGGATATTAGTTCCCCAACCAGGGATGGGACCATAGCCCCCTGCATCGGAAGCGCAGAGTCCTAACCATTGGACCACCCAACAAGTCCCTATAATCGTCTTAATCACACTTCTCCAGGAGAGCAATGGTGTCCTCTCACACGGACCCAAAGTTTCCCTGAAGACTGTCTCCTTAGCCTCTGCAGAGCAGAGGGGGAGACTAAATGAGATGAAATGACTCAAGCAGTCACTTGAGTCAAGCTAAAAAAAACCCTCTCTCTCAAATTATCTTAAAAAATTGCCCCTTCCTTCTGCCTTTCTTTAGAGACAGTTAGTAGGAAAATTTTCCTTTCTCTGCACAGTGAGCAAATGTATTCACTATTCCTACTCCAAGGCAAATACTGCCGCTCATGCTCCCCTTCTTCCTCTTTCTATTACCAACCCTCACTTGGCAATATCCTCCTCAACCACTGGCAGTTCCACTGAGGCACACTCATGAAAGCGAAAGTTGCTTAGTTGTGTCCGACTTTTTGTGGCCCTATGGAGTATATAGTCCATGGATTTCTGCAGGCCAGAATACTGGAGTGGGGTAGCCTTTCCCTTCTATAGACGGTCTTCCTAACCCAGGTCTTCTGCACTGAGGGCGGATTCTTTACCAGCTGAGCCACCAGGGAAGCCCACCTCACTGTATACCCACATAAAAGATGAAAGATGAGTCGGATCAATTTCAGGAAAATTCAGGTTAAAACACAGAAATCCAGGAAAGACAGAAAATAGGGCTAAATGCCTCAGATTTAGCTGCTCATAATAGTTGAATTTACCGAAGAGTGGTTTGGGTCTCATAGACACCAGTTATTCCTCTGATCCAAAGCATTATCTAGCAGCCTGTAATGCATCCCAACCTTCTTCTCCACAGGACAGGGCACACATAGATAATGATAATATTCACCCATCAATTAAGATGGCCCTCCCTTCCAGGAAAGCTGCCATTCCTTCTCCCACCCCACCCAAGGCCAACAGGCTGTTCATTCCATCAAAACCCTTTCTTCACTCTAAGGTGAACTGTTCTGAAAGATGAAAATGCCTAACATTCTGTCCTAGAAGCTCATCTGAATAATCATCTTCAAAAACAAATCATGGATTTCTCAAGGAAGAGAAATATCCTCCATCCCTGCCCTTTTCTCCATGGCATCATTTCCTGCCCCCATGTGCCAGACAGAACTAGAAGGCTCCCTGCTCTAAGCAGAGCATGGGACTTAAAAACTACCAGCTTCAGTCTCCTCCAGGGGTTGTTTAAAAATGCTGATTTCTAAGTTTCCCCTCACTTACTAAATCAGAATTCCTGGAGGTGAGTCAGGAATGTAGCTACACTTACAAAGCAGCTCCCAAGGTGATCGCTCTCCACAGTTCCACACCAGACTTTGGGAGCCTCTGATTTAATCCCACTCCCTATTTTTACAGAGTAGGAGAGCAGGAAATAAAAGGGGCGAAATGGGCTTGTCCAAGGTCACGCGGCGTGAAGGTGACCAGAGCCGGCCCGGAACCTCCTCCCTCGCTACTTCGCACAGCACGAGGAGGAACATAGGAACAACTTAGCATCTTGATGTGTCCACACTGGCCCCCCGCCACCCCAGCGGAGTGGCAGCCCCCCCAGCACTCACCCGCTTGTAGATGTCCTCCCGGCTGGCCTCATACTTCTGCTGCATGCGCTCCTCCAGGAAGTAGATGCGCAGCTTGAGGCTGAAGTTCTCCTTCTTCAGGTCATTGAGGTGCTGGGACAGAGTGCGATATCCATTAGACATGGTGGGCAACCCATGGGGAGGAGCACGTGCCCGGCCGCCCCCCTCAGCCCAGGAACGTGGCGCAGCTGCACCGCGGCATGAAGCGAGCCGGCGGCCACACTGCGAGGCTACGGCGACATGGCCCTGGCGGCTGGCTGCCTCCCGCACTTGGGCCTGGGCTCGCTGCTCTGGGTGCTGGAGCGCGCCCGCTTTCCTTTTTTACCTCGGGAGATATTTGCGGAATCCCTGACAGAGGAACATGCTGCGTGAACTCAAACACAAGTGGTGTAACCTGACTCCTAGCTAGGACTCGGCTCTCACTCTTGCAGAGTCTCCCAGGCCCAAATTAAGCAGTTAACAGTTTCTCCTAAAAGAGAGGGGGGCTGACCCCCCAGAAGCTCCCAGGAAATGGGGAAGAGGAGTAATTCAAGGTGATGGTGGGACTGCAAGTATACAAAAGGGCCCACAGAATGGTGACCACATATGTCAGCTCAAAGAGGCAGGGTCAAAGGCTACTCCCTCTAAGGGATGAGGGAAAAAAAGAGGGTGGGAGGTGATGAAGGGAGGCGTCAGACTGGAGCCCAGAGATTTCACCCAGTCACTAGTTCTTAACTCCAGCACCTGCCAAATGGAGCCAGGCACTCATCACCAGATCCTGCTCCTAAAGCAATTTAAGATCCTTGAATGACAGCTGCAACATTAGCAGGAAGTAATATTTATACCACACCACACGGGACATTGAAGGTGACCGGGAGACAACTCCACAGCACAGATACCAAACGCAGGTTCTTAGCTGCAATAATACTAGCATGAAAAAACAACAACAACAAAAAATTAACATTCAAAGTAAAAAAAGCAAAAAGTTTATACTTAATTCAAGCAGTCATTTCCTCTCCACACTACCTGCTCTTCGTTCTTCTAATTCTTTATACATAATAATTCCAATCAACATCCCCTTTGTACACAGCAGGTGATATGTTGAGCAGGAGGGATACAAAGATGAAGACAGTCCCAACCTTCCAAGAGATAGGTGGCCATATAGATATAGATGCATATGTTTTGAGCTTCCCACATGGCGTGAGTGATAAAGAATCCAACTGCCAACGCAGCAGATGTAAAAGACGCGGGTTAATCCTCTGGAAGATGTCATGGCAACCTACTCCAGTACTGTTGCCTGGAGAATCCCAGGGACAGAGGGGCCTGGGGTGCTACAGTCCACAGAGTTACAAGGAGTCGAACATTAAACTTTTTACACTTCATACTGAAATCCAGTGCATGCACACACACACACAACTGAAGTACAAAAAAAAAAAAAAACAAAAACCCAGCACTCTGTGGGATGGATGCACTTTGATATTTCCTATTCCATTTCTCTTTTTGGGAGTGACCCACTGAATTGATTTCAAGACCTACTAATAAATTTTGTCCTGAAGCTTTAAAAAATACTGAACCTATGGGAACCCAGAAGGAAGAGTGATTCATTTTAACTGGGATGGTGAGAGAAAGAAAGCTTCGACTAGAAGTTGCACTTGCAATCTGCTTTGAAAGATAAAAAATGTTTGAGTGAATAAAGTGGACTCAGGAGGCACAATTAGAACTGAGCGTTCTCTCAATCCTGGAGGAGGAAATGGCAACCCACTCCAGTATTCTTGCCTGGGAAATCCCATGGACAGAGATAACTGGCAGGCTGAAGTCCATGGGGTCACAGAGAGATGGACATGACTGAGCATTTTCTCTTGAACAGATCTGAATGATAAGTAGACAACACATTTCTTACCTAGGCCACTGATAACTTAAAACAATATAGTCTTCATTTTTTTTAAATGCACATTTAAAATGCATTTAGCTATTTTCATTAAATTGGTGGTTTTAGAATAAATGACTGTCATCTAGGCTTAGGTAGAGACAGTGAGGAAGAGAAAAGTCTAAGTTAAAAATCAAAAAGATCCTTTTTCTGGTCCCAGCTCTGTTACTAAATAACTATATGACCTTGGGAATACACTCTCCAGAGGCCTAACTGTCCTCCTTTATAAAATGAAGTAGTTGAAACCAGGTGATTTTTAAGGCATTTTCCTGGTCTAAGCTTCTAGAGGAATAACCTAGCCATTATTACCTCCATTTTGAATGTGTATGCATGCTTAGTCGCTCAGTCATGTCTGACTCTTTGTGACCCCATGAACTGTAACTTGCCAGGCTCCTCTGTCCATGGGATTCTCCAGGCAAGAATATTGGAATGGGTTGCCATTCCCTTCTTCAGAGGATCTTCCTGACCCAGGGATCGAACCCACATCTCCTGCATTGCAGGAGGATACTTTACTGCCTGAGCCATGAGGGAAGGCCCCATTTTGCACAGGGGAACCAGATACCAGATTCCAGATGAGTGTTCAGTCATGCTTTTGATGTCTACTTGGATTCTTTCATCGTGTAAGATCATTAAATAGAAGCTTTATGGAAAGTAAAATCGAATATGAATACAGGTGTTCTTATCCAACCTAGGTATTTCTTTCCTCACATTAACCCTATTTCCTCTTGACCTCTGTGATCCCTTGTTCTTTTCCTATCTCTCTAGCCTATTCTGTGTGTGTGTGTGTGTGTGTGTGTGTGTGTGTGTGTTTTAAATTCCTGGCTCTTTAACGCTACTGCTTAAATGGCAAGTAGTCCTTAGCCTTCTGATTTTTTTCTTTTCACATTTTCTCCCTTAGAGATTTTGTCCACTTTTAGGGCTATCATTTTTGCCTCCCAAACAGTCCCCAAATCCCAAACCAAGCTGTCTCACCCAAGATCTAGCCCTATATAGGAAACCAACTCTTTGCTAGTTAGTTCAACTTGGATCTGCCATTCCCACAACAATCCACAAAAGCAAAAACTTTTGCAAACAGTTATCTATCCTCTCTGCCAGAATTCATCCAGCCATCTCTTATTACAGCTAGAAAAACTCCATTATTTTGAAAACATTATTGTCAAAACTTAAGTCTTACTTAAAACCCCTTCACAGGCATCTCATCACTCCTAAAAGAGAAACCATCACACCCTCTCAAGATAGCTTGCCTCTCATTTTTTTCAAGTTCATATTTCATTCAAAGTCTTCCCTGCTAGCCAGACTGGAAAAACTTTCCTCTTGAGCACCTAAGGCAAATATTAACATTTGGCAAGTGCTCATATGCTGCCTCATGGTATTGCTTTTCTACTGTCCTGCAGGTTTATTTATACATTTTAGAGCTTTTAACTTTTCATGCGTCTGTCTAACTATTGGGTTAGCCAAAAAATTCATTCAGGATTTTCCATAACATCTTACAGAAAAACCCCAATGAACTTTTGACCAACCCAATAGTCTGTAAGCTGCCCAAGGGTCAATGACTGAAATGTCTTTCTACATTCTTTCAGCTCCCACAATTGCCAAGAAGACCTCTCCAGTTCATTCATCCCACTCTGCTACAGTATACAATCACCTCAATCAGACTAGAGTGCCTTGAGGGCTGGCAAGGCATACTTTGTATCTTCATATTCTCACTGCAGAATATTTAGGAAGTACTCCCTAAATATTTGTTAAGTAGGGCTTCCCTGGTAGCTCAGTTGGTAAAGAATCCATCTGCAATGCAGGAGACCCTGGTTCGATTCCTGGGTCAGAAAGATCCACTGGAGAATAGATAGGCTACCCACTCCAGTATTCTTGGGCTTCCCTTGTGGCGCAGCTGGTAAAGAATCCTCCTGCAATGCAGGAGACCTGGGTTCGATCCCTAGTGTTGGGAAGATCCCCTGGAGAAGGGAAAGGCTACCCACTCCAGTATTCTGGCCTAGAGAATTTCATGAACTATATAGTCCATGGGGTCACAATGAGTTGGACATGACTGAGTGACTTTTTCTTCACTTCAATGAACAGATAAGTATTGCATATGTATTTCTTTTTTGCTGATTTGACCTGTTTAATATGGGCTAGCTTGCTTATATTATTCTCATAATTCTCCAATAATATAGAAAAGTTGGTTTTAATGGTTCCAAAGAAACTACATCTGCTAGAATGATGACTAGAAAAGTGATGTTTTGTTTACTAAAATTTCTAAGTTTATATGCCCATCTTGATCTTTCTCCTGAATTCCAATCTATATCTAACTTCCTAGTAGAAATCTCCAGTTGAATCCAGATATCTCACAGTCATGATATATAAAACTGAATTCCTGATTTTTCCCAGCACATATGTTTCTTCCTTTTTGGATCACATTTCAGTTTGTAATCACCCATATTTGGAGTTGTTTGGGCCCCAAACTTTGAGTTATTCTTGACTCTTCTTTTTCATAGACATCATCTCATCTGTCTATAAATCTGCCTAATTCTACTTTCAATACATACAGAGAATCTATCCACCACCACTGCCGCTGGTACCTTTGCCACTCTGGCCCAAGATATTGTGATCTTTCCCTTAAGCTAATTTTTTTAAAGTGCTTTTATTTATTTAATATTTATTTGACTGCACTGGGTCTCAGTCGTGGCATGCAGAATCATTAATTGTGGCACGTGGTATCTAGTTCCCTGAACAGGGATTGAATGCGGGTCCCCTGCATTTGGAGCCCAGAGTCTTAGCCACTGGAAACCAGGGAAGTCCCTCCCCTAGGCTATTTGAATAGTCCTTTAACTGGTCTTCCTGCTCCCACCCTTCCTCCCCTAATAGCAGTGATACTTAGCACAGCAGCCACAGTGAGCCTTTTAAGATATCAGATTACTCCTCTGCTGGAAACCACCAGTGGCTTCCTATCTAAGACTGAAAGGCTAAATCCGTTCACTAGCCCATAAGGCCCAAGGCCCTGAGTAATCTGGAGCCCCTCTCCTGCCCTTTTACTTTTCTTCCTTGCTACTCTCCCCCTACATACCCTCCTCCAGCCACATGGTTTCTCTTTGCTGTTTCTCAAAAATACCAAAAACACCAAAATACCCCCTCCCTCTCAGGGCCTGTCAGCTAATTGATCCTTCTGAATGGCATGCTTTCTTTAGTTATC